TATTTGTTAGTTATTAATATGCTTAAACTTAGATACTTAAGTTTTCTTTGTCATCATTTCTGTCGATAAGTTTTACCTTGCAAGTAAATAAAACCGAGTAATTATCATTCTGTGTTTTCTTCTTCAACTTATCACAGCAATAGTAACAACAATTAGGTAATCATCGGCTGTCGCGGGCCAGATTGATGACAGTAAATCATTGGCTGTCGCGGGCCAGATTGATGACAGTAAATCATTGGCTGTCGCGGGCCGGATTGATGACAGTAAATCATTGGCTGTCGCGGCCGGATTGATGACACTGGCGGACCGGATTTGGCCTGCGTGCCGTAATTTGGAGACCCCTGATCTAGTGTAGTGTGCTAGTGTGCTAGTGTAACCATAGTTATGGTTATAGCGGGTGGTGAAAATTCAATTGTACACTATTGCTATCTCGGTAACGGTAGAATATACGATGTTTGTTGAATCAGACAAAAATGTACTCTTCAGAATGCAATGGAATTCTCGAAATGATCGAAAAAAATTGAAATCGTTAATTTTGATTTTTCTGCTTGGTATCTTCATCATAAAATGTGGAAAGGAATTATGAATGTTTTTGATTGAATTTCATGAAGGCTTCAGTATGTACTTATGACCAGGTAAGAAACCGACAAGATGAAAAAATAAATTTTAGGCGTTGCGTTTTCCACCCCTTACAATCATGGGGTGAACCAAATAAATCACTGGCTTAGTGTCTTTTTGGCAGTACAAAACGTCAGGTCAATTTCAGTATTGTAACTTTTTCAGTGCTTGTGAAAAAAATTGTTATACAGATTTTATGTACCCCCTTAAAGGGGCTATATCTTAATGAGGGATGCTCCAATGAAGTTTCTTTATATGAAAGATCCTATCTTTTTTTCGATGAGGAATCACTTCCTCAGATGTTTTACACTTATTCAGGTACACCCTGTACACAACATTTATGATTATTTACATGGGCGTGAACACTGTACATGTGTTTAGGAAAACTAGATGGTGAATATATTACTATCTTTTGCAGTTCCTAAACTGGAGCAATATACAGGGTGAAACACTCACAAACAAACTCACAAACTCACAAACAAACAAACTAGTTATCAATGAAAAATCAACGCGAACTCAACTCTGTGACTACATTATTTCATGAACTTTCAATCAAAAAACTCCGTACTGCTTTCCATTGGCGTTCGTTTAATTATAATATTGGGCGTTGGATTATATCCGACATACACAACAGTAACAGACAACAATAACAGTAATCCCTTAGGCATTACGCAAGGTGTCCCTCAAGGATCAATATTAGGCCCCCTTCTATTTATAGTATTTGCCAATGACCTCATATCATACTTGAATGAACACAATAAAACTACTACAACATGTTATGCAGACGACACAAACATTTTGATCATAGAAGAAGATTTAGTATCATTGAAATTATTGGCTGAGACTACCTATGCTAAGATGAAAACATGGTCAAACAAAAACCATTTGATAATTGATAAATCAAAGACTAATGCCCTGATGTTTTGTTCAAATAGTCGGGAACACCACTAGCTATTGTTGTTTGAAAATACCAATAACGTCGTGTCTTCTGAATCTATCAAAATGTTAGGCATTACCTTTGATTCAAAGCTCTCATGGATTTCTCATATCGATACTGTCTGCGGCAAACTTAGAAAAGGATGTTATGCACTCAAGTTTATGTCGAGTCATTGCAGTGAAAATATCCTTCTGTCTTTGCCCATTTCCATTCTCATATGAGATAGGAATTTTAAACTGGAGAGCAAGTTCCTCTGTACAAAGGGTGTTCTTATTACAAAAATACGCAATCAGAATAATTGTAAAAGTGAGTAGAAGAGAGTCATGCAGAGAGATTTTCAAAAAATTTAATATTTTGACTGTTATGAGCACATAGATCCTCGAAGCGTGTTGTTTCATTTTCAAAAATAAGGCCACTTATAATGCTATCAGAACACACCATGAACATGATACTAGAAGAAAAAACCTTATTTTGCCCCACCGGCTTATCACCGTC